GTGACTCAGGGACAGGTTAATAACTGAAATTATATTAAACTTTTTTTTTGGTTCACTGTATCACAGTGTTAGAGTTCCTTTAATGGTACTGTGCCCCCTATTCACTACACTCGCCAATCCCCCTCTCATTGTTCGCTTTTGCAGCCAGAGAGTCTGTTAATCTTGCACTGAGCCTGGCTGCGTGCTCCATGACCACAAGTCACTCACACCTTTCTCCACACCCGCCCCCCACACACCTGGATGGGCCCCTCTATCCAACCCCTTTTGGCCCATCCCACCCTTCAGTCTCCAGCCAGTCTTCCCTCAGCACCCTTCCCTCTCCTGCCAGCTCCTGCCCCACCAGCCAATAAAATAGTTTGTTCACATGCAGAGTTTGGAGCCTCTGCTGGCAGCTAGCACAGGGAAAGGCTGTGCTCTGTGGGTTTGTGGGCCCCATGGGAACCAAAACCAAACACAATCAGTAAAATGGGGTCCAGTGCCAAATGAATCCACTTTGTTCCGGGTGCTCTTGGGTACCCAGCTTGCTAGCGAGGGGCAGGGGCTGGGTTACGTGTGAGTGGCCAGGTAGGGAGAGAATTTCCTGCTCTCAGTGCCTGGTTACTGCCCATCCTTGCAGGGTGGCAGCACTCCAGATGTGCCCTTCCTGCTGGCAAGCGAGCTCCCGCTGGGGGTTGTGGGACATGCTCCACACCGACATGGTGCCATGAAGAAACGTGGACCATGGGGGAGCGCACAGCTTTACGCTCCTCACCCTACTGAGAACCAGATTTGGGTCATGTGGTAAGAGAGCCTGGTGGGGTAATCTGAGCCGCTAGTCCTTATCCCGAAGCTCCATGGCCCACAGCCCACCCCCGCTCCTTCCATCCCTACCTCCGTCTCCGTCCTCCATTCCTATACCCCCATCCTTCCCTAACTCTTCCCCCTCTGCACTCCTACACTGCCCATCCCCTTGCCTCCATTACTATATTGCTCTCACCCCCATCATCCTGCCCTTACCACACTGCCCATCTCCACATACATCTTACACACACCCTGCACCTCCCTATACACACCCTGCACCCTCCTATGATTTCATCGAGCTGTTCGCTTGGGCTCAGCCCAGCCTTTCCGAACTGTTGGGGTTTGTGTAATGCTATGTGAACTGCCTTTGGGGAAGCTTTGCTCCGTGGTGAGCCCGGAGCACAGAGCGGCCGTTCCAGAGAGCCAGGGAAGTGGCTGCAGACAGCACTACAACCCGAAGGGACAGGTGAGCAGTGTGGGACCTGTCCCCAATGCTCCAGTGGATGCACCCCTTCCCTGCAAGGCCAGGGTGCAGTGTAAGAGCAAGGCCCTGGCAGGAGCCGGAGCATGGAAGCGGGGAGCTGGGACCCCAGCAGAAAGGGGGCAGTGCTTTGTGGACAGAGGGGTGGACAAGGCGCCCCTAGAGGGTGAGGCCTTCCTGAGGGGCCGCAAGGGCCCCGAGGCTCAGCAAGAGTGAACCACTGAAGGGCTGTGCCTCCACAGAGTTTGCAGGAGCCTGGGTGTCTCAGAGGGGAAAGCTGTCAGTGTAGGGCCCTGTCCAGCCCCTGGGTGTTGCCAGGCAGGGGGCCCCTTGCTGTCTGCAGACCCCCAGACCCAACTCCCCAGACCCATGTAGGCGTGTCCATGCTCTCAATCTCCTGCAGGATCTGCTCATGTTTTGAGAGGCTTCCGCCATCTTGTGTGGGAGGGTCATGGGGGAACCAGGCAGTCACACTGCTGTGCTGCAACTGCTGCTGGGAACTGGGCCTTTGCAGTCCTCGTTCCCACCCTGAAAGCTGTGGCAAAGGGTCCTGCCAGAGCAGCTCTCAATCTCCTGCAGGATCTGCTCATGTTTTGAGAGGCTTCCGCCATCTTGTGTGGGAGGGTCATGGGGGAACCAGGCAGTCAGGAAGTGCTGCTAGATCCAAAACCACCCGCTCTGCACCCCTGGGGGAAATCCTTGTAGCTCCTGCGGCTCTCTGGAGCTCCAGGGAGGGGGGAGGCAGCGTGGTTCGTGGCTCCCAGAACATAAGGGGAGAGAGGAGGGACAGGGAGTAGGGTGGCCACGCGGCTCCCCAGCGCATGGGGGAGGAGAGAGGCTATGTGGCTGAGGGTGGAGAGTGGGGCAGCAGAACACAGTGACATATGATGTCTCTGTCATCCCGCAGGAAAAGTTTTTTTTATATATAGAGAGAGAGATTATTGAGATTGAAAATTTAACTGCAGAACTCCAAATGTAAAATAAATTGAATTAGCCACATTATTTTTAGCTATTTCTCTGCAACATTATTTTCAGTTATAAATCTGAAAAAAAAAGTGTTCATAAAAAGATAAAATCAGATTTAATTTTTTCAGGTGCACTGAGCATAAGTATAAATGAATTATAAAATAGATCTAGACACAGCTTTACTATTGTTTGATAATTTTATATTTATGTTACTTGTCTAACATTAAAATGTATTTGATTTTAATGAGGTTTTTTTTTGGTTCAAGGAGATTTTATATTTAGCTTTAACTTGGCCACTAATAAAGGCAAGAAATCTGTGACAGTAGTTTAGAATAAATGTGAGCTTTGAAAAATGAAACATGTTTGCATATTATGTTTTTCTGGTAAATTTTTCATTTGGAATCAATAAACAGAAATTTAGGTTATTATGGTGTAAACAAAAGAAATAGTATTTTTCAGTTCATTTCACCCATGTACTGAAGTGCAGTCTCTCTAGCGTGAAAGTGTAACTTACAAATGTAGATTTTTGGTTTTTTGTTACATAGCGGTACTTACACAAATCAATGTAAAACTTTAGAGGCTACAAGTCTACTTAGTCCTAATGTTTGTTCTGCCAATCATGAAGACAAACAAGTTTCTTTATATTGACCAAAATACTGCTTGCCTGCTTCTTGTGTACAGTGTCACCAGAAAGTGAGAACAGGTGTTTACATTGCTCTTTTGTAGCCAGCGATGCATGGGGTTTCCTGTCAAATATGCTAATCATTCATATGCCACTTCCTGCTATGGCCACAATTTTGAAGGTTGTGCTTCTATGCTGATTATACTTTTTAAAAAAATAATGCATTAATTAAATTTGTGATTGACCTCCTTAAAGGAGAATTGTATGTCTCCTGCCCTGTTTAACCCACATTCTGCCATATATAGCATGCTATAGCAATTTTGGATGATGACCTAGCACATGTTTATTTTAAGAATGCTTTCACAGCAGATTTGAAAAAACAGGAAGAATGTACCAGTGTGTAATTTGCTAAAAACACTTACAGCACTCATCCAAGATTTAAGAATCTGAAGTGCCATCCACAATCTGAGAAGGTCGAAGTGTGGCACATACATTCAGAAATCTGAAAAGAGCAACACTCTAATGCAGAAACCATAGAAACCAAACCACCAAACGAGACTGTTAACCTACTGCTAGTAGCATTCGATTCACATGATGAAAATAAATATATGTTGGTCTGCACTGCTTTGGATCGTTATTGAGCAGAGTCCAACATCAGCATGGAAACATGTCCTCTGGCATGGTGGTTGAGGCATGAAGGGACATACGAAGTTTTAGTGCCTCTGACATGTACATATCTTGCTGCAGCAGCTACAACAATGCCATGTGAAGGCCAATTCTTACTTTCAGATGACATTATAAAAAAGAAGAAGGTGGCATTGTTTCCTGCAAATTGTAACCAAACTTGTTTGTCTTCGCAATAGGCTGAACAAGAGGTAGGATTGAGCAGATTTGTAATCTCTAAAGTTTTACATTGTTTTATTTTTTAATACAGTTATTTTATGTAAAGAATTCTAAATTTGTAAGTTCAGCTTTCATGATAAGGAGGTTACATTACAGAACTTGTATGGGATTAATTGAAAAAGACTTTTTTTGTTTTTCAGTGCAAATATTTGTAATAAAAAATAAAATGAGCATTCTACACGTTGTGTTTTGTGTTGTAATTGAAATCAATATATTTGAAAATGTAGAAAACATCCAAAAATATTTAAAATAAATGGTATTCTATTATTGCTTATCCATGAGATTAATCATGGTTAACAATTTTAAAATCGCGATTAGGTTTTTTAAAATCAATTGATAGCCTCGATCATATCAATTAGGCATCTATCACATTCTAGTTTGTCCTATCTCAGAACATTATGGATCTTCATTTTCCTTCCATGTGATTGATAAGCAGTGATGTCAGTGTGAAACCAGAAGAATAATGCTTTTGCATGTAGGACCAATGCTTTAGAACTTTGGAGATATACTGGTACCTTCTACAGGAAGTTGCATTTCAGTTAGTGTCTTAGAAGATGCAGTGCATTATCTTTATGTATGTCCTATGCCGCTGATGGTGTTAAGCATGAAAATGAATAAGGCTGGCACTATGAGAATTTAGTAGAATCTAGTACAAAGTGGCAGGAAATTTGTCCTCGGGTACCGAGGAAAAATCATTACACGTAGCAAGCAGTTATATGGAACTATGTCTGTAATAACAGAACTTCAATTAAAATATTTTTTTCTTTCTTCATGGCTAAGTATATGGTCTTTAGCTGAACATCACTAAATTACTAGTCAAGTGTCATTAAAAGGCAAATATATTACGTGGTGTTAGTGACAAATAAAGTTTAAAAGTTAGCTATTCCTTACAATGAACTAGTATGTATGTTAATATCAGATTCAAAGAACTTAGGAAAATCATTAACAAATCACTCAGTGCAACAACAAAGAAGCAGTAAAAAAGCCAATGAAGCATGGTTGTTTTTGTTGCAGTTGTTTTGGTTTTGTGTGCTGTCTTTTCATTGTCACCTCTATAGCAAACTTAGTTGTTGTTCAGCTTTGGAAGAAGTAATTCTAGGGAGGCTAATGACTGTAGTGTAAATATATGACAACGGTATGCTAACAAGCTGCTTTCCTGTTGAAAGGCAAGTTAATTTGTGTAGACTGTTTCATAGCATAATGTAAAAAAAGTCACATTTTCCAATGATGCTGCCTTGTTTTGTTTAGAGTATGAAGGATCTGGAACTGAAGTTCACAGAAAGCACTCCAAATGTGGGGCTTGCAAATACAGGGCTGAGTGTGATGAAGATGCAGAAAATGTTGGGTAAGTAATAAATTTTGCTCCAAAAAACTAAAAAAGAAAAAGGTAAAAACATGATAATGTTTCTATTTGCACCTTAATATGTGAAATCCTCTGGCTCGTCGGTAGAATTGGATGGGAATAGATTTAAACAAGAGGCTGCTTGTAAATATTTATTTTCTGCTTTACTTTAAAGCATTGGTAGGCAACCTGAGGCTGCATGCTGCCCTTTGGGGTTCTGTGTGTGGCCCATGAGACATTTTGTTTACTGTTGCCCACACACAAAGTTGAAAAATTCTTCTGGTTTCTGTCCACATAGGGTGTTTTTTCCCCCTACCAGTATTACTAAAGTGACATACACGTAAAGCAAGGGCACATGAAGTGAGGTGCACATTAATTGCAGTCAACATTAACTGTGAGAGCTGTGCTTTTCCTCGGCATCCAATCAAAGCACTGTTACGGTGCAATCGACACACCCTGCAAAGTCTAGATACGCAAGTGTAGTGTGTAAAACTATCCTATCCTGGGAGACTCTTTGTCACAACAATCTTGTGGTCTGCTAAGGTGAATCAAGGCCACTCATGGCCAAATTGCTAGCCTAGGTTGCCCATCGCTGCTTTAAAACCTTCACAAATGGTTTGTACTTTATTGGTACGAATATTGTATTTCAATTGAATTTCTGATTAAGGACATTTCCTCTTAGGCTATTAATGAGGTTATAGATCCATTATTAAAACATGAATGAATAAATAAAGGAGCCTAACAATATATTAAAATAGCTTAAATTATTATTTTTTAAATTCAGGTAAGAAAGAATAAGGAATCTTTAAAAAATAACGAAAATGTTAGTCTACTTCTGAGTTAAGGTTTATTATCTCTCATAGCCCATAAAATAGTGCAGGCATTTCCAAAAGGCTGTCCTTTCTGTTAACATAAACTTCAAATCAAAATATTGAGCTGAGCTGGGGATCTGAATCAATAATTTTTTGCTAAGTCACTGTGACATTTGCCCTCTGCAACACATCATTGGGAACCTCTCCTTTATAAAAACGAAAAATATCTGTCAGTTGTCAAAACTCAAAATAAAGGATCATGGGAGGAATAGTTTTTAGGGAATATTGAAGAACATCCATAGTGCACATGCAAATATGCAAAGTGGATTGCATTTAGGTCAGGGGAGGGCAATTGCAGGCCGCTTATTGCCTACCCCTGATTTAGGCTCTGATTACACTACATCATATTTATATTGCTTCTAACAATATATATTTTTAGGCTATAAGTTTGGTACCTTAGGGGGCTGTGCTGTATGTTGCCACACAAGAGACAACTCCGCAGAATCATGTGAATATTAGACCTTTAGACTTTTGGAAGAAAGAAATTATCAGGATTTGCACTCTAGAACAGTAATTAGTCATGCATTAGTGTACCAGTGCTGAAGGGAGTTATCTTTATTTTCTGCTATATGGGGTGTGTCTAGACTACAGGGTTTTGTTGACAAAAGTGGCCTTTTGTCAACAAAACTATACCTGCATCTACACTACCGCCGCGTTCTGTCAACAGTAAGACGACAGAATATAGCAGTTTTGTCGACAGTGGTAAACCTCATTTTACAAGGAAGAACGCCTTTGTTGACAGAGATCTGTTGACAAAAGGTGTGTATGGATACAGGGAGCCAGTTCTGTCGACAAAAAAGGCCTAGCCTTTACAGGTTCAACACCTCTGTGGTTCCTGGCCGCAGCCTCTTAAAGGCACAGGCACCCAGGCAGGCCTTGCTGTCCGGCAGCTAGCCAGAGCACCCGTGTTAGCCTTGTCCTAGCCTCAAGGCCCACCTGGTTCTTCTCGGAACAGGGAGGACCCACCCAGGGGCACCAAAAGGTGGGCACCAGCCTGGTCAGGACCAGAAATCAAAAACCTCCTGGAGCTCTGGTCCCAGGAAGAAGCCCTGCAGGCATGCTGCAGGAATGAAGACATTTATGAGCACCTGGCCCAGGGACTGGCCACCAAAGGGCAACACCGCTGCACCATGGCACAAGCCAGGCTCAAGGTAAAGGAGCTGCAGCAGGGATATGCGAGAGCCCGGGACCAGAGCTCCCACTCCGGGACAGCCCCCGGGACCTGCCCTTACTACGAGGAGTTGGAGCAGATCATGGGCTGTGGTGAAGCCCAGACTCCACTGCGTGTGGTGGAGTCCGGGTTACCCCACCACATCGTGGACTGACCCCTCCTGAGGGAGGAAGACCAGGAAGGAGCAGCGGGAGAGCTGCACCAGAAAGAGGAGGAGGAGGAAGAGGAGGCAGCAGGGACCCAGACCCCAGATGTCTCCCAGGCATCCGTGGACATCAGGGAGGGAACATCAGGTGAGTGCTTTGAGGGGTCACCACACACGGGCGGGTTGACAGTGTGGGGGGCCAGCTAGTCCCATTGCCACTGTCGGGCCCCTGTGAGGCTTTCAGGCAGCTGCCCAACTCACACGTGGTGTCACGTGTAATACCTCTGAGTCTCCTGTCCAAAGGAGAGTCCCTGACAGCCATGGCGTGCCCTCGGGGACAGCAGGGGTGCACACAGACAGTGATTGTCTCCTCCTCTTTTCCTCCACAGCTGGACCCTTTAACCAACAAGGGAGCACCACACTTGCCCCACCACCATCCTGGACCCGTGGCACCTGCAGGCACTGGTGTGTGTACACGGACCTGCTGAGGGAGCACGTTGTGGCCCTGCAGGACCTCGACAGGACCCTCCAGCAGAGGACGGCAGCAGAGGCCGAGTGGCACACCAGGCTGCTGGATGAGCTCGTCCAGCAGCACACTACCATCTGTGCCACAATGCGGGAGGTGCTCGGCTTGCCTGCCCCTGTCATGGGCACCGCTCCTCCTGCACACCAGGCCCCTGATCCCCCTGCTCCTCCAGCTCCCTAGTCCGCCCACCCCATTGCCTCCAGTTCCCCCGCCCTCACAGGCCCAACAGCTGCCTCCCCTCCCCCCTCCTACCCAGGGCAGGACTAGGTCTCGCTCCACTTGATCCGAAGGCCGTGATGATGCCAGGACACAGGAAGGTGGCAGGACCCTGCGATCAGGGAAGCAGTGGCCTACTTGAGCCCCCCTCCCCACTCCAGGTTTTCAATCCCCCTTCCGCCTCTAGGCTTTCAGTCCCCTACCACCCCAGTTAAAGGTCATTTCAGTTATATAAAAAATCTTTATTTATTTTTGAGTGAAAGATTTACCTTTACACATTTAAACAGTACACAGGGAATTTTTTTTTTAACAGTTAGCACATTTTCTTTACTGATAGTGTTTCTAATAAAAAACTAATGTCTGTGTACAAAGAAAACCGGGTGTGTATGTATCCTTTATGGGAAGAGGGTGAGGGCAGGGGTGGGCCAGACGAAAGCCCCCTTGGGAGAGTTCCTGGGGAGAGTCAGTGGGCTCCTTCTGAGAATCTCTCCCTCAGGGCCTCTCAAATTTGGACACCAGCCTGGTGAGCCTGGCGGATGGCAGCCGTCCAGGGCTGCTGAAATGACCTGTCCTCGCCATCAGCACCTGTCCCCCATCCCGGCAGGAAGGCCTCCCGTTTCCTCTCCACCAGGTTATAGAGGGTGCAACCACCTCCGGATGTTGCGTTGCCCATCTCCAGGCGTGTGAGGAGGCAACAGAACCTCCCTTTCAGACGGCCAAAGGCGCATTCCACCTGAATGCGAGCCTGACTAAGATGCGTGTTGAAAAGCTCCTTGCTCGCATCCTGGTGGCCGGTGTGGGACTTCATTAGCCACGGCATTGGGGTAGGCTGTGCTGGCCACTATGCACACCAGCATCTGCACATCCCCGAGTGTAAGGTGCTGCTGGGGGAAAAATGTTCTTGCCTGAAACCTGCGGTACAGGTAGGAGTTGCGGAATATGCGGGCATCATGTGCCCTCCCCAACCACCTGACACAAATGTCCGTAAAGTGTTCCCAGTGGTCGACCAGGGCCTGCAGAACCATCAAATAGTAGCCCTTCCAGTTTATAAATTGGGCTGTTCGATGGGGCAGTGTGCAGATTACGATGTGTGTCCCATCAAGGCTCCTCCTCAGTTCGGGAATCCAAGGGCAGCAAACCCGGCAATGATGTTGTCCAGTCTCTTCAGCAGCTCCGCATTGATGGCCCTCACCACCTGCAGCATGAGACAAATAGACAGACAGAAACCAAGGAGTTAGACAGGTTACCTAAGTACTTGGGAGAAACCCCCACCAACCCACCCGTCCCCTTGTCAGGACGCCCTCCTCCCCCGCATCAGTGCAGGGGTGGCCGAGGAGCGACCTCCGAGTGCCACTCCATCCCCCACTCCCTCTTGGCTTTGTCTGGCAGTCCCTCTTTTTCAATCTCCCCACTCAGCAGAGACTGTTCCCCAACAGCGACCCCTCCTCCCCCGCATCAGTGCAGTGGTGGCTGAGGAGCAGCCTCCAAGTGCCACTCAATCTCCCACTACCTCTTGCCCTTGCCTGGCAGTCCCCCTTTCTCAACCCCCCCACTCAGCAGGGTCTGTCCCCCGACAGTGACTTACCTCCATCAAGACAGCCCCGGCGGTAGACCTCCCCATGCCAGACTGGTGTCCCACAGAGCGGTAGCTGTCGGGGGTGGCCAGCTTCAACAGGGCGATTGCGACCCACTTCTGCAGGGGATGGCAGGCCACAGGTGGGTGCCCTTGTGTTCCAGAGCAGGGGCGAGCCAGGCACACATCTCCAGGAATGTGGCCTTCCTCATCCGGAAGTTGCGGAGCAAGTGGTCGTTGTCCCAGAGCTGCATGATGAGCTGGTCCCACCAGTCCGAACTCGTCTCATGCCTCCAAATCTGCCTGTTCCCAAAAAAGTTTGGGGGCAAGGGCAGAGCTCCTGCATCCCAGAGGAGGGTCTCCTCGGTGCAGTCCAGGTCCATATGGGGCAGGAGATTCATGACAGAGTCATTCAGATGCACCAGAAGCTGCAGTATGGCAGCATGGGGCCATCGCTTGCCCAGGGTCCACCTAAGGCTCCATGGCCAAATAAAAGGTGA